TCTTAAGGTAATTCATTCTTAAAGTGTTTTAAGCAGGCATGGCCTGAAGAATTATAGTGTTATAGATTTGATACAAGTTTTTAATGAGCAGCTTATTCATTAACAGTGTTCAGACCTTGTATGGTTCACGTGGTGCCTCACCTGGTTTACATCTTTATTTTTTAATCTTTCTTCTTTTGTGAAAATTGCTTTTTAAGGATTTAAGATATTTAATTTTTTCTCTGATTTGTATTGTAAATATTAAAATGATCTAGACACAGTACCTGTAAACAGAGATATATGGTATCTCAAAAAAGAAGTACTGTATCTTGGTACTGATGTCTTTCTTTTTTCTTTCACCATGATTTTCTGATTATTTGGGAGTATCCAATGCACTTTATATTACAAGGTTGATAATAAATATATTGAGAGCATCACATATATTGACTGTAAAATACAGATTTTAGGATTATACAGTATACACGGTTTTCAGACCATACAGTTTCAGTTGTTGTTTTAAGTTCATACATTCACAGCTCAGTTTACCTTGGCTTTGTAAGAGGTTTCATCAGAGTTAACCATGGGTATGAAAAGTGCTCTATTAGTGTAAGGAATTCGAGTACCCCACTCGGTGTATTCAGAGAAGAGATGTAATGTTTTTCATGACATTTACTGTTGATACTTTGAGTACATAGATAAGAAAATATTAAAAAATCTAAAGAAAAAGTAAATTCAATACAAGTGAATAGAAAATAAAATCTTTCTCTATATATAAATATATACTGTACAGTACGTGTGTGAAGACATGGCAGAGGCAAGCAAGATGGCAGCTGTTGCCTGAAATACATTCCCCCGGGAACAGACAGCTGGTCAGGTGATGGTTTAAAAACTAGGGAGCTCAGATTCCAAAAGAAGATAAGACATAGACAGAGGGAAAAATCAACCCACTGTGAAACAGTGGGTAAATCCTATGTGGAATTTGGTATCTATGAGATGCAAGCTTTTGGAAGAAGTCTCAGAGTGAGACTTAGTTCTTGAGAAGTCAATAAGTTTCTATGATGTCTGGTGTATCTAGTTTAAGACAGATATGTAATTGAGAGGCTGGGCTTTTGTTATGTTTTGTGGGTTTCTGTTATCCCCAACCTGTAAATAAGAGTACTGGTTTTGTCACTTTTGGCTACATTCATGTTTTCTGGAACATACCTATTAACAGATTGCTTGCTATGGCACCTCAGCTCCCAGATGTATCACATATGATACTAACAACAAACTTTAACACTGTGAACTGTGAGCTCCAGTAGTGCCCTTGACTGTGTGTCCCTCAGGTCTTGCCGGGATGCAACCTACTGGGCAGCCAGTGGGGTGACAGCTTTCCTAAGTCTGTGGATTGTGTGGAATGGGGCAGAGAAACTGACTTTCTCTGAAGTGTCTCTCGTGATGTATCCTGTCCAGAAAAAACTGTCAATTAAACTAAAAACTGTCAATTTTTAATTGTATTTGTTTCTATGTCTTCTGTCTGCCAGTTGCCACATAGCCTCTTTGCTCTAAAGAGCAAGAAGTACTTGTGGCCAGGCTGAGGTCACTAGCCTTTTACTTCAGAGTCTACATTCCTATCATATTTGACAGGCAAGGGTGTTATTTATTAATATGGCCCAATACCAATCATGTTTGTTGTGGAAATTGTAATTGAGCCTTTTTAGTCCTGAACAGAAGATTACAAGGATACCTGACCCATGTATTCAAAATCAACATTGTAACAGGAATCACTGGGAGCTATGAAGTATATTTAAAACAGAGAACAGGAAGCACTTTGTTATTGATTGTCAGTATGGAACAAGCTACCCAGCTGTTTTGTGAAGCTGATACCGTACCTTATTTCAAGAATCAGATCCTGGGTTATATTAGCCCCAAACTACCAAGATAACCTTTCTTATCTAAATTGCCCCAAGTCTCAAAACATAGCTTTGATTAGGGTTATAATTTGGGGGATTGCAAATCAGAGCTAGAGCAGTGCTTTCCTGAAACTAGCTAATCCTAACCTGTGTTAATGTGATGAGCATCAGTACCAAATAGTTGTGGGGATTTTTCCAGTTTTTATAAATATCAATTCTGAAAAGAGCAACATGTGAAAATGGTCTTCACTCTAATTCTAGTTAATATGACCTATCTTTTCACAAATATAAACAGGACAATGAACTTGTATGAATATTTTTTGTATTTTAATAATGTTTATGTATACACTGTACTGTATGTTGTAAGAGGGCAGCAGTTTCAGAAAACATGAAAGCCCTTGTCTTGAAGGGCACTTCCCATAAAACTGTTTGAAATTAACTGCTGCCCTCAGTTATCTGACCAATTATCTTCCAGCTGCTGTTTTAGTTGTGGGAATAGTTTTTTGAGGTATCCACCAGGAAAATTAAATCTAGTTTCTTTTAATACTCTTTTTGGAACAGTGAGAAAGCTCTCCTTTTGGTTAGTATCTATTTAGGAAGTGATTTCGTACTGAATGATATTTTATAAGAACCTGATTCCCCCCTTCCTCTGTAATATTTATACAGTACCCCATTTACATGGTCAAGATTAGCTTCCTGTTCTGTAAAAATCTGGGCTCAGGTACTCACAGTGCTTGTATCTTAATAAGCCTACCAAACGTGTGTTTGCTTCTATTTTTTCCTGATTCCTGATTTTCTCTTTTATAATTTATAAATTACGGATGTTTAATATAAATATTTATAATTGTTCTGATATTGAATTGTAATTGCTTTGACAATACTGTAGTGTATATCATTGTTTGTGACGATAAAATTATTTGAATTTGATTTAAATTATTTTTCCTTCTGGCAAAAGGAATGTCATTAGGGGTGGAGGATTACTCTGTGGTGTCAGTCCAGCATGCGTCATATTAATGTTGATCATATTAATTAACCAAATTACTTCCATAGAACATAATGACTGGCTGCCTGTGATAGTAATACATCAGATTTTTAACCACTCTCCCTTATTAATCAACCTGTGGAGGCTGTTCAGTGCTTTAAATACTTGGGAACATTTTTAAGAAGGGTAGTCAGTGCATATTTGATCAGGATACTGAAACGCTTTGGGTGAGTCAAAACGTTTTAGAGAGGGTTAACAAAATGGTATTACTGAGTGGTATGGTAGCCAGAATTTGGCCAGAATTGTTCATATTGCTATTAAAATTTCTGGTTGACCACACAAACAGTTCAAAGATCTGTATTATACTGCAGTTCAAAAGAAAGCTCAGCAGATCATTCATTTCTACTCTTCATTCCCATTTCCAACTGCTACCTTCAAGGAGGCAGTTTTTGGCCAAGAAAAATGTATTCAAAAAATCCTTTGTTCCCCATGCAGTCGGTATATTAAACACTGCTAAACGACTGTTTCCTGTATGGAGCTATCAGATTATGTGTAATGGTAGTGTAATATGGGCAGAGCGAGAGGTGTGCATATGTATTGTTGTATATCTACCTGTAGAACCATTGTTTGTTTTAATGTGTATTTTATGTTGATTCTCATGTTGTTGTCTTGTATAGTGATACCAGAGACACATTACCACCCTTTTGAAAGGACAATAAAGTTATTTCTTTTCTTATTTAGGATGTGATTTCATTCTGATTAAAGTATTTTAGAAGAAATATTTACCCCCTTTCCTTTATGATATTTGTACTCATTTACATGGTCAAGATTGATTTCCTGGTTCTGTAAAAGTCTGGGCCCAGGTACTCACAGTGCTTGTACATTAATAAGAGTTCTGAACGTGTGTAAACTTCTATTAATATTTTCAGACCTTTAAGATTTGTCACCTTGGTCACTACTTCACTAGCTGGGAACAAAGAAACCTCATACCTACACTCAGTATTCGCTGATAATAGGGTGTGTGTAATTATTAACTAAAGTTTGCAAAGAAAACTTATATGTTAGGACCTGATTTTCTCTTTGACATTGTAGCCTCATTTATTTATAAATAATATGAAATTATTAATATTGCACATCTCTATAAATGTACTGATAATTGCTATTGCTTTGGCAACACTGTAAATCACACTGTAAATCATTGATAATGACAATAAAACTCTTTCGATTTGATTTTAATTATGCAGATGAGTGACTCAGCTGACTGCTTTCATTAATTACCTCTCCTATGAATGTAAATTCTGGGAAAACAGAGATTAAGATGAGGAGTGCTCCTTTCAACCTGATTTTAAATGAAATGCTTAAATTAGTTTGTGGTGGACTTTTACCTCTTCACTTGAACTGTTGGTTCTGGAAACATTTTGCTTGTGTTGGTTTACTACTACAATAACTATTTAACAAAATGTTAGCTAATGAGAGCCAATTTTACATATCCACTTGTTTCTGTATACATAGCCATGTTTAAAAGTAGAATAACTCTGAATTTTTAAATATCAGATTGTTTATCGTCTTATCTTCATCTTTATGAAAGCTGGTACACATTTTACAGTCGTTTTTCTCTGTTCTATTTTTGTGTGGAAGTATTGTTTTCTTTAATCAGAGAACAAAGATACTGAATCTCAAGGAAGGATGATAAATCCAGAACTACGAGTCAACTTTCAGTAAGTGGCTAACAAAAGAAGTTAAATGAAGACAATGCATTATCACAGCTATGAGACTGAAAATATTTTCTTTATTTTTTAAATGTTCAGGATTGGTCTGTTTAAAATGATTAAAAAGACGCTTTTGGTATGGATTCAGAATATATATATTTATATATATACATATTATGTAGCATTATGGAAGAATAACATGCAACTTTGCTTTTTCACAGCAGTTCTTGGAAACTAAGATTGTGTTGTAATAATCTAAAGGGCTTGCATCTGCTGAGCATGTGCAGTTCTGAAGACTCTAAAACAATAAAGTTTTATTGTTAACTAGGAAGATATCTGATTTTTGTTAATGGGTAAAGGTGGCTGTTTAGAGAAAAATTAATCAGGATAGACTATTTAATATAGTTAAGTGTCTGCAAAGGCGTGTAGCTGGCTGGACAAGAGAGATGGGGTTCCTTACCAAACTCTGGGCTTTTCACAAGGTCTTCATAATTATTCTCACACCTCTGCTGCTTCTACCTCTTCCATTGCTCATCAAGACAAAAGTAAGGAAATGACAATTTAATGTTGTGCCTTTAGTATGCTGTACATACAGAACAAATTAATTTATAAAGTTAATTGATTTCTTAATGTGTATAGCCAAATGTATATCCATGTGGATATGATTTTGACCAAGCAATTAAACAGGGTCTGCAGAAATGTAGAAGGACAAATTACAAATGGTGAATTACATCTAATATATTTAGTCTTTCACTGGAAGTGAATATTATTCCTACAAATCATCTCCTCAATAGGCTCCAGTGCTTACAGTGAAAGGATATAAAATGGAATCTTGTATGAATGTATTTTCATTGTTTTGGTATTGCTTGTAACATAAATTAATCTAAATAACTCCTTGATCTTATTGACAATTTGCCAGTGCCTTAAATACATACATATATTGTGGCCAGCATCTTCTATTGGGAGGTGCCTGCACCAGAATAGATTTACAGCTTCCTTCATTTTCCAGCCCAGTTTTGCTTCATATTTTCTTTTATATACTGCATACAGTATATAGCCTTATTCTATTAAAATAATCCTCATTTTCTCTACACATGTTAACAGCAATATTACTGTTGAAGAAGAACAGTTTTTTTTTGGGGGGGAGGGTTATTATATTTTGTTTTGGAGCTAAGTCAATTCAGTGTCTTTTGTTTAGAAATGGAGATTACCCTAAACGGCAGCAATACTATCTGTGAGGAAACATTAATTTGCAGTTCAGCAGCTTGGAACAAATAAAAATACTTATCAAGCTCATTTGACTCTAGAACATTACAGACTAAAGAGATTTGATAAGAACTGGGGATTTCACAACTAAAACAAATTGGCATTCCCTACTGTTGTGTTAATCAGATATTGATTAACTTTGAGTTGGAAAGAAATTAAACGAGAAGACTCCACTTAACCAAACTAAAAACATAAACTGAGGTATAAAAAGAAACATATCATTACTAATTATGTATGTATGTTTTCAGAAAAATAATAGTATATGCAGTACAGTAGATTTTGGATATTGATTAAGTTTCAATTAACTGATCATTCATGACTAACCTTGATACAGTTGAGTGACTTTGTTGCATAAACTCTAAGCACCTCATTAGTGACACATTTGATTGAGCACAGTGATGAGGTGATTTAACCTTTTGAATGTCAAGCCCGCTGTAAGTCAAGAAAGAAAAAATACATAAAGGAGCCAATTCTCCTAGTTTTTCAAGAGAATGCTGCCTTTTTGTGATCAGTACAGTATGTTGGAGACAAGATCTCATCAGTGCACTGTTACACATTTCTGGAGTGTTCAGAGCTAACAGTTTCTAACCTGATAATTGATTATCAGACTATGTCATCACTATGTCAGCATAATCACTCTCAGTCTGGCTTGACTGATTGGAACACAGATGGGCACCAGTACTGGCAAGTCTTGGAGTGCTTGACCTAAAACTGTGACAAAAACTCACCTTTCAGCAGGACTTTAATTCTTTTGAAAAAACTATAGAAATACTTGAGAACTGCTGTCCATAAGTGATCACCAACCAACTTGAGAGAGACTAAGCAAATCTGCCAAGAAGAATGAGCAGAAATTGCACCAACCCTGTGTGCAAAGTCAACAGCCCTTTCCCCAAAAATATTTACTTTTGTGATTGCTGCCAAAGGCATTTCCACCAAATATGGATACTTATGCATCAAATTACGGTTGTGACGCTTATGGTGATTCATGTGTTTATCAGGGTGTTAACCCTCCTGTTCTAGCTATAATTTATTTTGTCTCGTACAATTGACCTACATAAAGTTCCCCCTTAATTCAATTGGTGAAGCCAATTGGTGGAGGAAGTGGATTCCCTCCTATAGTATATAGTATATACTAGTGCTTTCAGATCCTTTGGGACTTAAGTATTAAATAAATGTAATGAATTATTCTAATGATTTTTTATACATTTGTTGTTGTTTTTTTTTTGGTTATATTTCCAGGTAGCAGAATGTGCGTTTACCATGTTTGTCATTGCCATTTACTGGCTAACAGAAGCAATGCCCCTAGCAGTGACATCCCTCATTCCTGCCCTATTCTTTCCTTTGTTTGGCATTTTAAAATCATCCGAGGTAAGCAAACACTTTGTTTTGGTTTCTCCTTTAACTATGAAGACCAAAGCAAACCCTATGGTTGCCAAGACTTATTAGCATTCTTCTTTCTCTGGGATCCACTGAGCTGGAATAAGGGAAGAACATAGACATAGCTTGGGATGTGTTGAGAGTATTCATTGGAACGTTCTAGATTCTAGTTCTAAGTGCTACATTCTAGACCTTACAGATATTTTCTGGTAAAGCCCGTGAAAGAAAATATAAACACCTTTTACTGCACAGCAGGTGATTGTGAAATGTCATGACAAGACATAATTTTCCTTCCAAATGATTTTCTTATTAATGAATATGTCTGTAACAGTTTAGTCAGTTTTGATTTACAGTGTAAGTCACAAACACCAATGTAAAAAAACAGATAAATTCAACACAGATAAATTGAGTTGGTTATCTGCTGATAGCCTTACTTAACAGAGGACATCTCTCACTATTTAGAAGGTTGATGTAACCCGAGGCTGGGTAATGGTATTTAATTATTTTTTTATCCTGAATATTAAAAGTATTACTGTGTGAAGTTTAGAATTCTTTGATTGTGACAAAATAGATCTATGTAATCTGGTCTAGAGACAGACAGAAATGTCCATTATAGTAAATGAGTTGTGGCATATTTAGAGAGCTAAAGCATTTTAACACAATACTTACTATAAACACTTTATGATATAAAATACTTTGAAAAAATCCATACAAATATCTATGAATTCTATAATAAAAAAAATATTATTATATCTATAATTCATTTCCTAAAACTACAGGTAAGTTATTATTTTTTATTGATAAGTGCGTCAGACAAAATGGGACACTTTTGGTGTAGACTGATCCATGTATCACAAATATTTATTTGCTTACTTATGATTTATTGTCTATTTTATGTATAAAAGAAGTCAATATCCTATCACAGTACCTATTGGGTATCCTGGAAACTGTTTTCTGCAGACATTTCTGCAAATGACATTGGTCCCTGTGGCTGCATTACTTTTTCCTATCTGATTTTTCTCTTACATTTTAATATTATAGCACCATTTATAGAATTTCACCATGACAGGGGCAGTTTCGATATGTAAAACCGTGATCATCAGAAACTTATTGTTGCTCCTCTGTATGTACAATGCTTTACAAAATAGGAAAACTGGTTTACTGGTTGGTGTACTATTTTTTCAGTTATACAGAGCTTTCATTTGATGTTTTGACTTGCATATATAAACATCCAAAATGATGACAGCAACTTATCTTTGTAATAAAACATTTTACATTACTGCTGCACATTGCTGTTTTTCAGGTTGCTTCAGCCTATTTCAAAGACTTCCACCTTTTGTTGATTGGGGTCATTTGTCTAGCTACATCTATTGAAAAGTGGAACCTGCACAAGAGAATTGCTTTGAAGTTAGTTATACTGGTGGGAGTCAATCCTGGATGGTAAATGCAATAGTTTTGACAACATTACTAAAGAAGGAATTGTTGGTTCAATTGCCCTTATCCTGTTGTTTGCATTGTTTAGCCTCAGTAAAGATTATATAAATAGCTTGCTGTTACTTGCCCTTTGATCCTTGTTACCTTAAGTTTCTAACAAAACTGGCAGCAAATTATCCATTTGATATACATTTTTCTTAAGTTACCCTTTAATTTAAAAAAATCCGTATAATGACGTGAAAAGGTACGTTATCTACAAATACACAACTGATATAATTTTGTGTTTTACATTCATAGATTTAAAACACATGAATTCAATCCAAACCTGAAATGTGATGGCAGTCTTCCACAGACACGATAGCTGTTATCAAATACTGTGATTGAAATTTGTAACTATTAGGTGTCCCTTTAGTTTTCATGTGGTCCTGACCTGAGTTTTTCAAAGAATACATAAAGGAAAACTAACTGATACTGGTGATATATGCATGGCAGTAAGAAAAAAAATCAAAATCACATTTACATATTTGTCATGTATGTCTTTATATGCACACAGGCACTTCCCATATTAGAACATGTTAAAGAGCTTGTGGGATGTGTTTAATTTAGCATAAAATACTTATTTTACTTCTAGGTTAAGAGCAATTTAATATTATATACATTATGGGGGTTTTGAACATCTAGAAACAAAATGCTTTCAATTATGAGATGGGGGGTTGTTTTAGCAACACAGCAATCCTCATTATCACTGCTTCTGAGACAAAAATGTTATCAAATGTTTTTCTTAATGAATTTTGAAATCACTTACAATGTGTTATAAATTAATGAAATGCATGATATAAGTCTTAATATCATGGCACATTCTTCACATTTCACAGAATAATAAAATATCAAAACTTCAAACAGATTAATTAAACAGAAGAATGCATTTCTACTTTGTCAAAAGGGCACCCATTTATTATCAGGTTCCATTGTATAATGTAACAATTTAAACTAATGCAGCAACATAATAGATCCTATTAACAGAAACCAACCTCATAACAAACGACAATAAAACTACAGAAATAACAAAAAGTTCATATTTTAATCTAATTTCCCAGTTTTACAGGGGCTGAACATTGTGTAATGACCTCCAAAAACAATTTTCAGGGAACCTGTAACAACTGGGATGTTTTCCAGTATGTGAATAAAACCATTTCTAGAGAGGTGTTTATAACTAAGAAGTATTCATATTCTCTTAATGACGCAATTAATTATATAAGCCTAAAATAACGATGATGTTTATTTTCAGGCTCATGCTTGGCTTCATGGTCAGTTCTGCGTTCCTTTCCATGTGGCTCAGTAACACAACCACCGCTGCCATGGTGATGCCAATTGTTGAAGCTGTTATTCAACAGATTTTAAATGCCGAAGCTGAGGCTCATGCTATGCAGATGAGAAGAATGAGTGGAACAACAAACAGAGGGTTACAACTCGATGGTACCATCTCTTAAAAAAATCATTAAATGTGTTCAATAACCAAGCACGAGCTTTAGATCTTAAAATCTTGAGATTAAATTGTCTCCATAACCTTCCTTTGTCTTTGTATAGATTATAGATTATAAATTAGTATTATAGTAAAACACTCTACCTGCTGGTCAGATAACCATTAACAAGAGAGGGATGCTGGAGGTTAAACATGTTCACATTAAGCAGGTCAGCATAAAGACTGTTATAAAGAATAAAGAATAAAGAATAAAGAATATTTTTAAGAATATGAATATTAAGAATATGGATTTTGCATTATTTATCATAATTTTGTGGTGAAACTTATTTTCACAGAGGATGACGAAAACGTGGACAATAATAATGAAATAATAAGGTAATCCATATATCTTAGATCATATTTTTTAAGATTGCAGAAACTGATCCTGGCTAAACATTGAATTTATTTTAATTTCTATCTTTTCTTTTAGTAATGGAGCTGGACTGAAGGCTGTTGTGTGCAAAGAGCCGATGAATGCACCACCACAGACTGACGTAAGTAAGGAATGGCCACAATTACAACAATTAGCTAATATTACACTTTGGGGCATATGTTAGCCATATGAAAAGGAAAACGTAATCAATACCCTTCCTCATTGGTGTAAGTACACAAAAGTAAGATAATCTGTTTCCTGCCAATGGAGTATAGTGGATAAGAGTCAATAGCATACTTGAAAAAAGAGGTTTGTTCTTTCATTAAAGAGCCACAAATGGTATCTTCTTTGAAATGATTACTGTATTTATTAAATTATCTATCACTGAGTATTTTTGTCCCATCCTGATTTTTTTATTCTTTGTTCGCCTAAATCATCTTCATAATGACTGGATTTAGAAATGTCTTCTTTCTTTTATGCAATTATATATTTCCACATCTGAAAACAAAAGTAACAGAAAAGGGAATACCTATCTAAGGTGGCTTTAAATTATTTCAGTAAAATGTGACTTACAGTACATGCCCAGTTCTTTTATTTAACCTGAGAACCATTGATTTGACAAGTGTGAGTATGCAAGCAGAGCCAAATACAGAAATTAATTAAACTGTGTACCCTGCTTAGTTAATTTAATAAAATTGGTCAATGTACTATTCATTTAAGTAAGCTACATTTCTAAAAGAAAGCAATTATGTATTAGAAACAAGATTTTACATATCTCGTTCTTTCAATGCTTGATAGAGATATACAGTAATTTTTCCCACATTTCTGGATGTGATACATGTTCTTACCTGCAATTATCTCTCTCAACATAATGCAAAGCTGCTGGACTTTGCTGATGAGGAAGGAAAATGGAACACATAGATCATAGTTTCAATCTTTCAAATATGTGCTTCCCAGGGGACCATTTGATCCACAGTAATAAAGTACCTGACCCTTTCCAATTCTGGTTATGGCACTCTTATGCTATTAGATCTTCTCCCCTTCAGAAGACATTGTTACCCCTGACAGTGGCCTTATATTTACTAATATATTCTATTTGTGTGACCTAAAGAACTCTGGGTGGTAAATTACATACATAGCTGTCAGGTACTTGCAATATGTGATAACTCACAATCTGGGAAGCATACTGTTGTATACATATTCATACAGCAGATTGTTAAACCACAGACGATGCAGATTTGCTAGTGGACCCCAGCCCACCCCTTTCCATCTTTCTTATGTTTTACCTATGCATATGATGACTATTTTGTTCTATTCACTTAAAATTAAACAATGTCCTAAATAACGATTCCTTTATTTATTAATCTGTGGAAGTTTTTATTTTCTGTGAGACAATAGATTGGTAAGCACACTTGCGAGAATAGTTTACCTAGACTGCTACAGTCCATGTCCCTTCTCTGAGGTAGTAAGATTTCATATTGTTTAACTTTCGAGAAACAAAAGATTTAAAAGGCACAGACAGATCCTTAGATACTACTGAACCCACATTTTAAAATTATTTTTAAATATTTAAATTTGAAAACACTGGAAAAATTACAAGTGAAATATAAGATTTTTTTTTTTAAAGCTAAGATAATTTCTTTGATTTTTGTCAGCAACAAGGTATTGAAATGATGATTTCTAACATAATTTCAATAACTAACCCATAAATAACCATTCCATTAATTGAATTGTATTATTCAAGGTTGAAATTCCTACAACAAGAGGAAAATACCGGAGCCACAAGGACCATATGATGTGCAAAGGCTTGTCACTCTGTATTGCCTATGCATCCACAATTGGGGGATTGACCACAATCACAGGAACTTCTACCAACTTGATTTTTGCTGAACAATTCAACCAGTATGTTTCTCTGCTATAACTTGTCCAATTTATTAGGAAGTACAGGTTTATCATAGGTCATAATTGACATCAATGCTTATTATTCTGTTTTTATAAACTAAATTTATTTACAAATTCTTTATTCTGAATCAAGTGAAGTATTGTAGTCAGATGCTTTAGGCAACACTTGCTGCCTATAGTGTACCCACAGGTATATTAATCTTTAAATTTCTCCTATAATTTTCAAACAAATCTCTATTCTGTCTATGAGGATGTACATTTTCTTGTACTTATTTCTATAAGATCATGGATTTTTTTTTAGACTAGGGTATGCATAAAAAGTCAATTTAAATGTTTAAATGGCATATCTCTGAAGTGAAACATGACACATCCATACCAGTCTGTAAAAAATGACCTTTAATGCATTCTAGACATAAACACCTTGATAATTTTAGACAAGCCCAACTTGCAACACCTTGCTGAAAGAATATCTTTGGCTAAAGGCAATAAGATCTGAATCAATAATGGTTATCTGTTATGGGCATACAGTATGTACAGTATGTGTGTGCTATTTTATTAGTGTTGTTAATAAGAAATAATTTATTTTTGCAAAAAAACAGGTTTACACGTTACATACTGTACATCTTTTGATCAATTAAGTAAATCCTGATTAAAATAGGTATGGAAGTGGGAGGTCAGTGTACTTCATGATGTTTCTTTTCTTTCCTAGTTTTTACCCAGAGTGCCAGTGTATCAACTTTGGAAATTGGTTCATTTTCTGCTTCCCCATCACTCTTCTCATTCTCGTTTTATCATGGTTCTGGTTGCACTGGGTTTTCCTTGGCTCAGAGTAAGTTCAGACTTGGAACTCTTTTTATTCTGTGGCTGAGCAGTGAAAGAGGTCATGGCTACACATAATTGGATGAGGGCTGCTGTGTTATTGTTTAGGGGGGAATAAAAGAAAAATATTACAGGCCGATGTTGTGGTTTGAAAGAAGCAAAAGCCTAAGATTTGGTTCATTGATGTGAGTCATTAAATAGGTAAATCTATGACAACTTTGATTGTTATTATTGCTACTGCCACTGTTTAATATTTCACTAAGAATTGCATTGTGATTACGCTTCTCAAGCTTCTCTTAAAGAGATGAAAAGGAACTGAAGAGAAACACATTTTCATTACTAACACCAGCTCTTTTCGTTTGAAAACCATAGCTTCAAGGCATTATTTCACTGCAAAAAGGAGAAATCGGAAAGAGAAAAAGCCTTTGCTAAGATCATAGCAGATGAATACAAAAATCTTGGGCCTCTAAGGTAAGAAATAATAAAGTTGTTGCAGGATGTATTTTATTTATTTTTTGCTGTGTGTGTTGCAAAGGAAAATTGGACTTTTAATTGACTGGTTCATTCTGGGTTTGCAGCTATCAAGAGATTGTCACCTTGATCATATTCATCTTAATGGCTCTACTTTGGTTTACAAGAGATCCTGGATTTATACCTGGCTGGTCATCTCTTTTCCCACAGTAAGAATTTTAAAATAAAAATTGACAAATGTCTGTGTTGAGACAAATACTGAAGTTGAGCATTTGTCAACATTTACACCCATATAAAGCTAAGCACAACACATTCCATTTTTAAGGAATAATGCAGAAATTGCTAAAATGTTGAGGGATATAAAAAAGGGATATATATCTTTTAATTAAATTAAACGTAGCTGGATATTGCTCCACATCAAAAATATGTAATTGATTTTTCACAGATTTCAATTGAACAAAGAAAATATAATTACAATGAATGTTTCAATTTCCTTATATTGCTTAAATGTTCCTAAAATTTGTTTCTTCTTCTTTTTATTATCGCTACTACAATTCTTACAAACATTCATAAAAAGTACCCTTTTCCTGTACAGATACAAAGGATATGCTACAGATGCTACTGCAGCATTAATCCTTGGACTCCTGTTTTTTATCATACCAGCAAACATGCCAACAAAACATTCATCTGGTAAGTATCTGTTGATAAAAACTCAATATTACTATGTTATCAAGCCCTTTCCATAAGGGTTTCTTATAATGTTTATAATACTATAATATTACCAGTATTATAGTACTTGTAATATTTTGATTTGATCTGATTATCTGATTTCTCAGAGTTTCATATTAAAGAATATAATATATTGCCAATATGGCCAAAAATACATATTAGTTTTAGAAGATTGAATATTGTACTCATGTTTTAAAAACACTGGTAGAATTAGAGCTTATGAAAGACTTGTGGAGAGGGTTGATGCATTGCAACAGATATTGTAAACGGCTATAGAACACAATCACAATTTGGAAATTTAGATCAATCCAGGGTCTATACACCATAAGGAATGTGCAATGACTGTGTCACAAAACTTCTTGGCAGATGCTTAGTATCTTTATTGCAGTAATTCCACTGCCAATATGTGCTACCTGACTTGTTTTCAAAAAGTATGCAGTTCTAACAAGGAGACAAAAGTATTTGCACTACAACTGCACTTCTTGATGATTAAGCAATGTTAATTACTGTTACTGTTCAGTAATATTAAACCCATTTCCAATTTGTTATACTGTATATGTTTGTGCAATAGTATTTTTATGATCTGTTCAAAGGCCTTTTCAATAATGTACAATGGGCTCATTTTACAGACATTTCTTACTCAACACTAATTACATGGAAAGAATTCCAGTCTTGCATGCCGTGGGAAATTTGTCTTCTGGTCGGTGGTGGTTTTGCCCTGGCTGAAGGCACCAAGGTAATTTACAGCCTTAACTAGTTATACTGTTGTATTAAAAGCATATTATTTTCACATAAATTCATGAGTAATACTGAAATCAAGAGTTCAGCACTATACATTCAGGCATCCATCCATTTTCTAACCACTTCATCTGATACAGGACTGCAGGAGAGGCAGAGCCTATCCCAGCAAGCAATATGTGTAAGGCAGGATACACAATGGACTGGATGCCAGCCCATCGCAGGGCACATACAGACAAACATGTGTACAGTCACTCCAGGGCCAGTTCACCCAGAAGCCTATTAACCTACCAGTATGTTTTTGCACTGAGGGGGGAAACTGGAGAAAACTCATGTGAACATGGGAGGAACATACAAATTCCACACAGATATCATCCCAGAAATTGCTCATCACTGTACCACTGTGCCATTCATTTGTACATTCACATTATTTAAAATATTGAAAGTGGATTCATATTTTTTTTAAGATGTGCAATAGTGACATGTTCAAACACAGAGAAAAGTGAAATAATCTTCACCTGCTTCAATAATAAAAGATAATACAAATTATAATGTTAATTTTTACAAATTGCAGGTTTCAGGATTATCTATGTGGGTTGGTAACCAGCTAACACCACTGGCATCTCTTCCTGTTTTGGCAACAATTGTATTATCTTGTTTAATTGTAACCACTGTAACTGAAGTAGCCAGCAACCCTGCCACGATTACAATATTCCTGCCTATTCTTTCTCCATTGGTAAGTATGGCATTTTTTTCGATGCAAATTGATAGCTTCCATGCAAAAGATAAGAATTACACCAAAAATCAAGTGGTGTGAACTAGGAAAACATCTGAAAAAGGTGTTGTTAGTTAAATACTTTTCTTTCTACTTTTCAGAAAAGGATTAAATCTCTACTTGTTTAATACCTGTACCAATAACAGACATAAGGCAGTTTCCTGTATAAAGCCTTTATAGTTTCCTGCTCCTGCAAACGTCTAGCTCAATTTGTTGGTATACCTCCCATCCATAGTGACATTTGAAACATTCTGGTTTAAATTACTTGAACAACATCTCTCATTTCCTCACGTACAATGAGAAAAATACTGTCAAGCACTGGTGATTTGTAAGATTTAATCTGTCCTAGCCCTTGTAAAACCTGTGATGTCAGTTATGGTAAAATTTTACTCATTACTCATGTTGTGTGAAATATCCATTTAGGATATATTCTATTTATTTTTCATCATTTATGATTTAAAACCATATTATCTTGCAAAACTGGTTAAATATTTGTCTCTTTGCCTTTCACAGGCTGAAGCCATCAATATAAACCCTCTGTATATTCTAATACCCACAACATTAAGTACTTCTTTTGCATTCCTTCTGCCAGTGGCAAATCCACCTAATGCTATAGTATTTGCCTATGGTCACTTGAAAGTAATGGATATGGTAAGAACATCTTTAAATAAGCTTGTAGAGTAAAACATAAGTAATTATTATTTGCAACTGCTTTTGCTATTTCCTAACATCTATATTTTTACATGTTTTTAGGTAAAGGCTGGACTGGGAGTTAACATTATTGGAATTCTTGTTGTTATATTGGCCATCACAACATGGGGAGACCCTATGTTCAACTTGAGCCAGTACCCCGCATGGGCTCCCTCTTCAAACATAACAGGTTCATGACCCATTATCACAATAATTCATAAGAACTAATTTTACACTCCAGCTTCATAATCTCTAGCCTCGTCTCCATGAAACCAATATGCATCCAGTATTCTCTGTTAGATAAGAGTTTGGAGGTATGATATATATTTTCATGAAAGAGCATATAGAAGGAAATCTTAATCGGTGTTTCTGCATTAAAAATAATACCAGGCATACAAAAACCTAATATCATGAACCATTAATATCTGGAGACCTAATTGTTTTACAGATGTGTTGTAGATCAGTTGTATATTGTTAGGGACTAGTTTTATAAGAAATAATGTGGACCCTATGCAGAATCTTGAAGAAATCCAGAGACGTTGTCGAGTGGTCAAGCTGAGGTCAGTAAGCCGTAGGAAGTCCAGCCGAGCAGAAGTACCAAAAATGGAAACGGAGCTGTAAACTGTGTGGAAGCCGAGAGTCAAAACCTGAACAAACAGTAAAGTGCCAAAACCAAAACCAGGAGACGTAGCCGGGAGACGAACCAGGGTCAGGAAGCCAATTTCCGAATTGGAATGGTGGAATGCAAGATAGAACGACGAGTCCTCCGGGGCCGTGGCGTAACATATATAGGAAGTGTAAAATAGCACCTTGTAATATTTATAAAAAGCTAAAACAGTACATGTTTTAGCTAAAGAGGTATAGTTTAACATATCTATATAGTTGAAAGTAGCATATGTTATAGACACCTACAGTACCTGCTACCTTGAAATGAATGACCTTCACACAGAGACTTCACAACTATGATAAAACACCATATGCAGAACAGAGCAGATACAAATGTGTTGATTGCTGGTGGTTTGATGTTGGCATAATGCAGAGCCAGTTAAGAACAGACAAGAAGATACTCAATATTTCCGGAAATTTGGATAAAATCACCATTCAAGATTGTGGTTAAGAAACACTTTATCAAAGTGATCTGTAAATACAATGTATGCACTTTTTTCTTAGTTTTGTTTTTATAGGACAGGGAATTCAATTTTGTTGACCTTATAAAAATCAAATTTGAACATTATATTATTACTTGTATTCATGTCTGAAACTGGTGTTTTAATACAGTATGTGTTGTACTGCTGTAAAACAGTTTTTAGTGTTATGTAGTGTATGTTATAAGACATAGAAACAAAAAGAAGAAAACATGTATGAAGGGGATTATCATCTATAATATCATTTTGCTTTGATTGGTTCAGAATTCAATGTTAAATTGTAAAACATTTTTTCATCATCATTTCTATTGCATATTTAGTGACAGACTTTCCTCTTGTGATGTCAATTAATGTCACATTTCAAATAGATCATAATAATTAAGAAAATATATTTTCAGTAACCAAAAGGCATGTCAATGGTTTCTGTTTATCTCTACAACTTTCTAAAATTCAAAACACTGTCCTTTTGTTTATATAATTGTCATGCAGTTGTTCATTTATTGGTAAAGCAATTATTGTACAATATTTGGAAATACAGTATATTTCCAAAATGCCACACATTTTAGCAAGAATGTGATATATGTCTATACATATATATGAGCTGTTTACTTATTCCATATTAATGAAGTAGCATGACTAAAGGGTTAAGGAAAAGGGTTTCTGGCGAAAGTTAATTAAATTAAAAACAAAATGAATTTTTCAGTATAAAAAGATTTGCTGTTTTAGTTCCTGTATTTAAATAGGTATTTTTTCCTATGACCAGTGTACATTTTTATTTTGTTTTTGGTATCACAAATAAAACTAAATATTCTTTTGCATTTCTTTCACTGCAACCCCTGTCCTTGAAATGGAGTTTCTGTAACATCTTGAGCTGATACTTTCGCCTTTTAGATGTTTTTTATACATTTTATTGAATACATACTGTAGATAAACTTTAGATGTTTACTTTAGATACATCCTGTAGTACTAGTACTGTGCAAGCTTTCACATAAACAAAATAATAACTACCAAATCCTAACATATCACTAAAGCTATATCTGTACTTGAAAGTTCAACTGAGACTGAATTCTTAAGCTGACTAAGATTTTGTATTTATATTTATGCCTATTCATACAATATTTATGGTATAAAACCTAAGAACAAAAGGCTTGTGAGGTAGTGTTGTGGCCTTGAGCCAAGACAGCTGCCTGTTAATTAGGAGAACTAATAATGAATATATAAGACCAGTTGAGAGGAAAAGGGTTTCAATCGGTGTGCATTCTCCGGTGTCTCCAGAGGGGAGTTCTCCTCCAATGGATTGGGCTGGCTTACAGACCTATGGAAGACGGTGAACTAGTTGAGTATTGAGAAAATACAGCTTAGTTTGTACTGAGGGGCGCCACAAGTGCTGGATGGGTGAGCTGTGGGTCAGTTTGTTTCCCATGTTGAATGGGAATGAAGTGTATTGAGGACCAGGGCTGGCCAGCTCAACCAGGTCTGATGGGTGCTATTGGCACCTGGATGAGTGGGACATCAGTTGCCAAGATAGTAGTAATATTTCTCCCAACAGCTGAGAGGGTGAATCTAAGGCTAAATCACTATTATGCCTAGGATCCCAGAGGAGGTTCAAAAGGCTCAGACCACTGAGTGTGAAATACTGTGACATGTTGGCAATATAAGAATTAGAGAGTGGTGCATAATTCAGCAGTTGTCACATATCTGTATTAACGTACCTTTTAATACCTTACCTAATATTTTTGTATATTATATTTTACTACCAGTGTAAAATAGCTTTAAAATGCACTATTGAAAATAATTATTTTAGAAAATATTGACAGGACTTTCATCTGCATTGGTAGTTTTCAACTCAATAGTGAATATATTTTAACAGAACTCTGTGTGGAACTAAAAGTTACAATGTACATTGGAAAACTGTAAAATATCAAGCAGTCAGATTGAGTGAAACATCCTGAATGTACCCATTTAAAAATAAAATAGATCAGATAAGCTTTTAAGAAATCAAAGCTTGTAAAAACAAGACTGGAATATTTCTCCATGGAAAGAAGTTAATTACTATGAGTTGTGCAGAAACATTTCTCATACATAATACAAATTTCACATGTGTAGTCAGATTCACTGCACTGACCTGATGGAGGCAGAGGCCAGTAGACAGAGATAAAAAACAAGGGTAGGCTTTGCAGGAGGCGGGACAATGCAGGCAGGTGAAATTAAAACTTAAGATTCTCTTACAATCCAGTTTTGTAGTCAAACAGGCAGGGGTCAAACAGGGAGATTGAACAGGCCTATTCAGTGATAGCCCTACTATCGCTACATGATAGTAATGCAGTGCAAACCCATGGGTATGACATTACCCCCTCCCCCCCTCAATGGGTGACCTCTGCATGCTGGACGTGGTCTTCAAAGGAACCGGAGTGGACAGATCATACCACTTGCAGAGCATAAAGTTCCCATGCAGGAACCCAGGAACACTCTTCGGGGCCATGACCCCTCCAGTCTACCAGGTACTGGCTGCTCCCCTGGATCCATTGGGAATCCAGGATGTGTGGCACCGAGTACTGTAACTTTGAAGGGCCTGATCGATGCAGGTGTGAGGGTGCTGGTCCTGACTGGCTTCAAGAGGGAGATTTGGAAGGTCGATGAGATGCGATGTCCAAGATGAAGCACTAGCTGATAGGTGACTCTGTTAATCTGCTCCATGACATGGAAGGGACCAATAAACCGAGGAGCAAATTGAGCTGCCAAGATGGAACCTGCAGGTGGGGAAACCTGGTGGACAGTCAAACTCTTTGTACCGGATGTAAGGGACATGCACTGCACCTGTGGTGATCAGGCTGTGAAGACTTCAGGAGATTCTGATGCACCTTGATCCAATCACTCGAACAAGTCTCAGGTTGTTCGGTTGGCAGCGGGAACATTGGAAGAGACAGGGTTCAGAGAGAGGAGAGGAGGCTGAAAACCATATACACAATGAAAGGGAGACAAACTAGCAGACCTGTTGATTAGAAAATTGTGGAACAATTCATCCCATGGTAGCGGGTGCACCCAAATCCTCTTGGATCTGGAAACTTCTTTGAGAAGTGGCATTTCAAATAAATTTCCAGATCTTGATTCACTGCTCTGTCTGGCCATTTGGTTTCCGGATGATAACCTTAGGACTGGTTAACTTGAATCCCCAGCTGTTTACATAAGGTGCACCAAAACCTCTTAACGAACTGGATGCCTCAGTTAAAAGTAAAATTGGAGGGGAAACTGTGGAGTTGAAACACCTCCTTAGTGAAAATTTCCACCATGTGCAAGGCAGGAGGTAATTTGATAAATGGAATGAAATGAGTGGCTTTGGAGAAGTGGTCAAGATTGATAATCATTGTTAAGATTATTGAGCAGCCTTGGGAGTGGAGAAGCCCATTGATAAAATCCTCCAAACGGATGACCACAGGGGTTGAGGAGTGGCCGAAGAAGTCCAGCAGGTAGAGATCAGAGGAAGAGAATACTGGTTCTTGATTGTAATTTTATTTCCAAACTTGGTCAGACAGGGAAAGCGTCAAGAAATCAGTCCAGACTGAGGTCAAACAGGCTGGGTTGGCACACGGAAGACAATACAAAATATGGAAGACCCAGAGAATGGTCAAGATGAAGCAAAAGAAAACCTAAACCTAATCTATAAAAAGCCGCAAGGAATGCTGAGAAAAGACTCAATGACAGAGCAAGGGACGGTGTTATGTACTCACTGAACCAAGGTAATACTGGCTGATTGGCGGGCAAATGATTTCAATGACCAAATTTCATTACCAGGGCGAGTGATGAATTGGTAGTCGCTTTGGTAGTAGTGCTGTGCAAGCCAGCATTCCCACAGATATGTCATGTGAAATATACTTTGTAAGATGTCAGATATGAAATGGCAAATATAGACACCTTATTTATATTCAAAATAATCTCAGTTTTATAACTGAAATTCTAAAATGTGGTTCTCTGATATTATCTGACACAGATTTGAAAAACAAAATGTAGTTTCCAATAAATCGTGCTTTGAGCAATTGAATGCAGTAAAAATGAGTCATATGCCAGAGCTTAGCACTTGATTAGAAGCGGGAAGGAGCAATCAGCTTGAACAAATAAGGAGGGCATAGTGTGGCACAGAGCTCTAAACACATCTGGCAGCCTTTCTCTGGTTCTTCTTTTCAATCATGGACTAGGAAATAAGAAAAGAAGCTCTTGTTTGCTTTGCCTAGCATCTTTATTAACGTCTCTTGGGCTCTGTGACCATGCCTCCAGGAGATTGCAGAGAATAAAGGAACACAAGGGGATCTTATACTAACAGTCATTCAACTATGCCACAACACTGGCTTAGTCAATATACTTAGGGAAAATGCTTAGGACTTTCAGCAGGAAGTCCTGTTGTTTTCTGCCAAGCAGTGAGCTGTTCTTAGAGAGAATCTCCTCGGTGACAAACTGGAAAATTAAGTTCCAGACATGATGAGGGAGAGAAGCAAAGAAACCATTACTGTACATGCACAGTAAGCAGGAGTCACTGTTGTCCTAATCCAGATCAGATCTTAACTGGACAAATTGCACACTATTGTCACATAGATTTAAGTTTTACATATATGTTAACATGATAAATCTATTTAAAAACTGTGTTATTTCGTAAAGAATTAGCCTGACTATACAGTATGTTTTTCAGTATGCTTTTATAAAAAGTCATTTCAATTGCTGCACTTTTGTCTCATTATGGGAGTGAAGCTACTCTTCTTTTATCTGTATAATGAGAATAAAGGTATAAATAAATGATTAACAACAATTTACTGATAAATTTTGACTTATAACTAAGTCACATATGGTTCTTGTAATTTATTGAAGGAGGTTATGAAAGCAAAGTCTTCAGTTAAATTTATCTGAAAACATTTGCTCTGTAAAAAGTGCTGTTTCATTAAAGAATCAGAAAAAAATAAACAATAAAACAGCTTGATCACTGTACTACAGTATAAAAGATCTTAATTTTTTTGTTAACATAAAATGCCAAAACATCAACTGTCAGTGAATAATTAAAGGCAATGTTGTATCAGGGGTGCTCTACACCTCATCAAGTTTTAATGCTGCCATAGCCTTTGAGAAATATATTCATTAGCTTTATGTGAATAGAGACTATTGTGCCTGACAGATGTACAGTAAACCTGTTTACTAGAATGAAAATGAAATACTCTAATCACATACAGATTTTGATTATAGTACATATTAGTTAAATATGGAACTGAATATCAACACAATATGACATTCAATGCTTTCAAATGCTGATAAGCCCTGCAACAGAAGTGACAGGTACAAGGTTGATTTCACAATGAAATGCAAACAAGACATTGCCTATCAGCCAAAAAATAAATTACTTATCCATGAAAGAAAAGGCAGAGCACCATCAAGTGGTATCATTTTGTAACACAAAAGTATACGTCGCGAGCAAATTTTAGCATGCCTGCTTACAACAGAAGATCAACATAACTAACAGCAAAGTTAGAGCACTCAGATGGGAAATGAAAAATAACAAGATGATTTTTATACATGAATAAAACAATATAGTTGGTTATTCATGTATTTATGATTAAATTGGGGAACTCTTTGCTCTGATCGACACATTCACAATTGTTGTCATTTATTAAAAATGCTGTTTCAAGAATCTAAAACAAATCTTAAATTCTATTTTGACAAAGATTATATTGACATCTACCTGGAAAGTTACAGTCCTTTTCTATTTGTAAAAGCTGATGTTTACGATTTGTTTAGATATTTGCAAATTAACATGTTTTTTGAAGAAAATAA